GGGAGAACCTTGCAGGTGGAATTGCAGGACTGAGAATCTGGACCACTCTTAGAAAATTTGACTTCTTGCATCCGATGAAGGCGTTGGAAGACAGTAAAGGGGTCTATTTCCCTGACAAAAAACGAGGTGTACCATTTGTGTTGTGATCTGATGTTGAGGAAGCAACACCACGACCTCTCATTAAAATTGAAACCATCGATGACGGCCAAGGTCAGCAAACCGCCATTAAAAACATGTGAGCACTGAGTCACTGGCAAAGCCCCAGGCAGCATTTTTCAGTGTTGCTCCACAAACATCAGAGGATGGCAGCAGTGAATAGGGCAACAGCTCCAGAGCAGGAGCAAACCTGCAGGATCCAACCTGCAGCAGGGAGGCGATGGGGCAGCGGGGAAGGCGCAGGCCCAGAGGCACAGGCACAGCAGCACCCCACGGCTCCAGCAGCTCCAGCCAAGGGCCCAAGGAGCAGCCCAGCAGCTATCGAGGACACAGAAAGCTGCTCTCCCTCCTGCCATTGGCTCCCAGCATTTGCAGGAAGTTTCCTCCTGGCAAAGCAGGCAAAGTGAGGTCTGCGTCCCAGCAACTGCTTTACAAAAATTACGGATGGCAAGCAGTCAGTCCTTTGTGAGAAGGGGAGATTCAGTCAAATCCAGTGGTTTCACAGGGACACTTGGGTCCTGCTGTGACAATAACCTTCCATTCTCTGCCAGTCAGAACAAGCACTGCCAGAAGCAGCCCAGATTCACAACAAGCCCTTACAGCTAAAGAGCCCCTGTCTGGCTGTGTTTAAGCTGGCTGCCTCCTCCTTATAAACACCACTTCAGAGCAGCACGGCCTGCTTCCAGTCCCCTCTGAAAAGCAAATATATTTTTATCACTCTTCAACAAGATACAGCGCTCTTTCTTACCAAAACCCCAATTACCAGATTGTGGTCCCAAGTTAAATATTAACAGGTAAAACTCTCCCTAAACCTACTTACCTCTGGGTTCACAGCTAAAGGGTTAGGAACACATCTGAGAGTACACTAATTGCTGACAAATGTCATCTTACACCAGTCCTATTACATAGTCATGGACATCATTTAATCCTTCTTGGCAGAGGTTTAAGCAAAAAGACATCTCTCTGGTGCTTGAGATAGGACTCAAGCCATTATTGTTGTCCACTTGACAGCTAAAAATGACAGTAGCTATTAATCATCCTTCAAGATATGCCTGATTTATGCATGTATGAGCAAAGCAGAAAAGCACTGCAGCCTGTTACTTACAAAGGTTTGGCTGTTGAAGTTGTTTTTTTTTTAAAGGCACTGAACTGGTCAAAAGCCCCTTATAACTAGCATTGCTAAAGAAGAGCATTCGGTATGCAATCAGTTCAAAAAGAAAAATTAAATTAGCAACCAGCGGATCAATACTGATTCATCAGGAACCAGACTTGATTCCATCTCTGTTACCACTTCTGGGGGCCAACAGACTTTTAGAAAGATGAAACAGTATTACAATCATCCCTCTCATCTAAATCTGCAGAATCCCCTCTTACATCACTCTGCTTCTGATGACAAAACTGTTTGGGCCTATCCAGCAGCTGCAGCTGTGCCTACACAGGTCCAAGCAGGAGGAGGACAGCACTCAGTGTGTCCAGTAGCTGGCCCTGGACCTCTAACCTTCCAGTTACTTCAGCCACTGCTGCCTACACCCCAGCAGTCACACGCACACCCTGCAGCTGCCCCTAGCCATTGCTTCTGTCCTGTAGCTGGCCATTGGTCCTCAGTCTCCTGGTGAGGAACAGCTTCAAACCACTGCCTCTGTACCTGCTCCAGGAAAGGTGGATGCAAGAAGCCAGACTGTCTATTTTCTATTTTTCATCTTTTATCCTACATATCCTGTTTTGCAAGGACCTACAGGAACAACTTCTGCTCCAACTTTCCCCTCCCACATCTTCCCATGACCATTCTACAATGGCATCTGTAAGGCTGTGTCCTGGGTGATGTTATGACACTGTTATGACCCCTACCCTGGGCTTTATCCCCACACGTGGGTCCTGTGACTTAAGGCTGGGAGAGGGAAGCAGGGGAAATTCCTCAGCGAGCAGTTTGTGTTCAGTTCTTACAGATCCCCGGCTCTCTCTGCTGTGCAGCCAGGAGAGTTGTGTCTCTGCTTTCAGCTAGCTCGTTCGTTAGCTGAGGCACGAAGTTTTCCTGGGGCTGTGGCTGGTTCTTGGGGAACTGTTCAGCTGTGCCGCGGTCCAAAGTCCGGGCCAGCCCCGGGAGCCCCAGCCCGCGGCCCGGCGGGAGCGGCTGCAGGGACATCCCGGCTCCGGACCCCGGGAGAAGCCGAGCAGACTCTGAGGTACCAACTTTCTGCACAGTGAGAAAGTTTATTACCTAACGTTATTCATTCGCTTTTTTCCCATGCCTGCACTCTTGCTTGTTAAATAACAGGGTTTTTTTTTTTTTCACTTTGCTCCATGAAATTCCTTTCAAACCTGTGAGGAGGCTGCCCAAACCTACCTTTCTTTAGAGGGCACATTCATTTTAGGATGTTTCCTCCTAATTTGTCTCAAACTGAGACAGACTGCCAAACAGGTGATTTTTTTTACCCTGCCAAAAAGACTTTTTAGAATGCAAACTGGACTGCTTTACATTTCAAATGCCATTACTTTTCTTTCACCCTACATTTTTACCTTCAACAGAAGAAAAAAATAATAATTATTTTGGTCAGGGGATCCTAAAGGAATAGCTTAAATGTAATTCCAAATCACTTTTGAAAATGGCTCCTCAGAACATTTGGAAATAACAAGCTTAATGGTGTTTGATTTCAGTTTGAATGAAATTTACCAAGTTCAGACTCTGTCACATCTCAACTGCTTGAATAAGGTCATAGTACTCACATACAGCAGAGCTACTTTCATGTGAAAAAGGGGGAAGGAACAAAACTGTAAGGCAAGCAAACTGAGACCAAACCAGAAAACTGACAGGAAAAAATAATACTCTGTTTTATACTTCCATATAGAATAGACTTCACTAATTTAAAAAATAACTGCTGACAAGTGTGGGCTGATTTTAGTACACAGGCGAGCAAAGCTGTAAAATACCTGCAGAATACACCTTTGCTCAACAACATGAATGACTCACTTCAAAATTACCACCACAGCTGTCGTTACTCCTTCTTCACCCCACAAGGGTTTGAGCCTCTCACAGAGACACCTATTCACTTAAACCGCGGGGATGGAGGCCTCTTTCTGAGACTGCAGGATGAAATCCACCCACAGGTCACCGGGTTTAACTCTTCCTTTCCCAGAGCCTTTCCCGGTGAGATTCCCGCAGCCCGCGCTGCAGCGCACGGAGCC